TATTATGATAGATTTATTTAACTGACTGCAGTAATAAGAACAGTCTTCTTCTGAACACCAACACCAAGGAGCTGGCGTTGGTGATCACCTAAGCATCCTCACAGGACAGTGGCTGCAGAGGCTCATCTCACTCCACTGCAGGACTCAAGAGGTTCAAGAGGTCCCTTAACCCCACTGCCATGAGACTTTTTAAGTGCAACTCCTGACATGTTCATTGCACATTTGTTTCTTTTATTCTAATACATATTGGTTGTAATCATATGAATTCTGACCTAAATGGACTTGCACCCACTTGTTCACCCCTGCTCGGTGAGGTAAAGGTATGGCTGTCTCCAACAAGACTCTTCAGTGAAGGTTTTAAAGAAAAACAATCTAAACTATAGCCTTAACAGTTACACTTTCTGAAACCACATGTTAATGTAAAAATCATATTTGTAAGAACAATCGGTTTCATAGAGTGGAAACCTGTTAAAACACAAAGACTTGTTCTCAACTATAGGTAATTAGTGTAGGGGTGGCTTTTACACACACACACACACACACACAGAGAGAGAGAGAGAGAGAGAGAGGTTTCAGCACAAAAGCAAACACAGCACAAAAATGAGGTAAAAGTGACAATGAATTGAATTATTAGAGATATATGACACAGGTGATTGGTTGGCTTAGAAACTATAAAGGCCCCAATATGCAAATTCGTATGTCTCAGCCCTCAGATATGATTGGCTCTTTGGGAAGCCGTGCAGGCCCTGATATGAAAATTTGAATATTACAGTCCTCACAGAGGACTGAGTCCCTGGGGACCTGGCATAAATCTACAGAAATACTATGATTACCCAGAAATACTACATTTAGTAGAAATACTATGTTTTACCACAAATACTATAAAATGGCAGAAATACTATAATTAAGCATTAATACTATAATTAAGCAGAAATACTATATTAAGCACAAATCCTATAAAAAGCAGAAATATAGTACTAGGATTTGGTAGAAAAAAACTATAATTAATCAGAAATACTAGTTTTGGCAGAAAAACCATGATTTGGCACAAATACTATGTTTTGACTCAAAAACTTTTATTTTGCAGTTATACTATGATTCGGCAGAAATACTATGCCTTAGTAGTAATACTATAACATAACAGATAAACTATGGTTTTGTAGACATACTATGTTTTTGCACAAATACCACAATATGGCAGAAATACTATGCTTTAGCACAAATACTGTGATTTGGTATAAATACTATAATTTGGCACAATATTATATTCCGCGGATACATGTACACTATAACATAACAGAAATTCTACGACTTAGTAGTAATACTATAACATAACAGAGATTTTAATTGGGCACAAATACTATAATTTGACACAAATACCATGATTTGGCAAAAATACCATGATTCGGCACAAATACGAAGATATGGCAGAAATGCTATGATTCGGTACAAATACTATGATACGGCAGAAATACTGCGTTTTAGCACAACTACTTAGATTTGATTGAAGTACTATGATTTAGAAGAAATACTATGACTTTGTAGAAATACGATGCTTTGGGACAAATACAATGTTTTGGTTCGAATACTATGATTGGGCAGAAGTACTATGTTTCAGTACAAATACTATGATTTGGCAGGAATACTCTGTTTTACCAGAAATACTATGTTTTCACATAAATACTATCTTTTGGCAGAAATTTCGGCTAAAAGGTACTAATATCTGCTTTTTGGCAGAAATACTGTAATTTGGCAGAAATACTGTGATTTGGTATAAATACTATAATTTGGCACAATATTATATTCCGCGGATACATGTACACTATAACATAACAGAAATTCCTCCACTTAGTAGTAATACTATAACATAACAGAAATATTATGATTTGGCACAAATACCATGATTTTGCACAAATACCATGATTTGGCAAAAATACTATGATTTAGCAGAAATACTATGATTGAGGAGTAATACTTTAACATAGGAGAAATATTGATACACACACACATACACAGAGAGTAAAGGGAACAGGAGCTGTTAAGAGTCTGGGCTTGGTATATGTAGGTCAGTTAAATTAGCTGCACCTGCTGTAGTCAGCCCTTACACACACAGACACAGAGAGAGGTGTGAGTTTTCTTCAGTGTATTTCTGACATTCAGGATTCCCCTTGAACAGATGGCCATAATTTCCTAACCGTAGAGGCTAGAACAGTCATTTTGACATAGTTTTGTTCAAAAGAGATGGGGGAATCTTCAGGTCTTCATAATTCAGAGATAAAGTATAAATGATTAAAGATATATGACTTGTAACACACTGTAACTAAGAAGAGGCGAAGCAAAAACTGCCTTGACTTGCCCTCAAACATCCTTTGGTAACTCTAAATCTATATGGAGCATCAAAATCATTCTTTCACCGTAAGAGACAGCAGGCTTTGGTGAACAGTCATGGAAATTTTCAGGGCTCTGTGGAAATCCATCAAAAAGATATGATGAGAGAAAAAAGTGCCTCATTTCCAGAGTTTGAAATCTGAGCGAGGGACAAATTTCCTATCCTCAAACAAATGTAATTCATGGCCAAACGTAATAGGTGACAAAAAAATTCTGAAGAGTGTCTGAAGATATATTGGCACAAGCCTCATGTCTTAACTTTGCTTCGTTAAGGAGATATGACGATTTGAAAATGCCTCTCATTAGAGAATTCCAGTGGTGATTTTGAACTCTCCATTGACTGTGTATGGAGAGTTTTCCGACTTTGTGTTGCTCTGACGAGATTTGCAAAAAATCTGTAAATCCCACAAGAATGATGGTGACATCTTCTTAAAGCCAGCAAAAATACCTACGTTTTAATGTATAATTTGTGGGGGTTGAGGGAAAATTGGGTGAGTAGCAAGAAGTTGTTCAGACATGAAGAAAAAATTCAGAATGGACGAGTGTCCATTCTGAGTTAATTGCATAGCAACCATAACAACGCATGTATTTTCTGAAAAATCACAAGTTTGCAAGTCAAAACTTAAATAGCGATAAGATTAAAACGGTAGAAGATCTGAAAAAGATGAATCATACAGGAATAGCCCAATAATTTGAGAACATTTTAAAGTTTGAATGGAGTTTCTAGGTGAAAGTATGAGGAAGTAGTTAAGTTTCAAATACAAGCAAGTTTTAGCAGAATTGTGGAAGTTTTCCATTCATTTCAATGGGACACAAAAAAGGAAAAAAGTGTAATATTTTAAAAAGTATAATAGTAATAAACACCAAAAGTCATAGCAGGAAAGAGCAGAAAGAGTAGAATGGTTTAGAGTTTGAACTGAGAAAATCAGCTGACAACTGAGGAAGTAGTTAAAGTCCAAAAAACGGAAAAAACTGGAGCAACTTGAAGAATA